GTGTGTGTGTGTGTGTGTGTGTGTGTGTGTGTGTGTCAGTCCAGGTGGTGGATCAGTCTGGTCTGCTTGATGAAGCAGCATGTGTTCTCAGCTCACTGGAGCTCAGACTAAACGAAGGATGCTGTTTATCAAGAGACACAGTTCATCTAAGGATCAAGGAACTTCAAAAGATGATAACGCAAATGCATTCAGAGTGAGCAATAGGCACACACGCACAATTACATACAAAATTGTACAAAACCACGCAACTGTGCGCTCATCCCTGGGCTTTTAGCTCGTTTGCAGAATAACAAATAGCCATGCTCTCTTGTTGATATACCGTGGAGCGGTGACAGGACTGTGTCAAAACAACGGAGCCAGGTCACAGACATACGCACACAACAAACAACTGCCGAGGCCCACAAGGACACTCTGCGTGACAGATCACGCTGCATAGCAGCAGCAGCTCGTACGACGTGTCAGAGTCCTCCCACTCTCATAATTGCCTCACAATATAAATCCTTCATGCTACACATGCCGACTGTAAGACGTAGGTTTGTGGGGAGGAAAGCCAAATGCCAGTTATCGTCGTGTAATTACTGTTTCTGGCTTGAAAAACATGCTCCAACAGTGCTGAGTGTATGATAAATGTAAATGATTAATGTCACTCATGCAGATATTTCTGTATGTACTTGTACTGTATGTAAATAGCTTTATTGTTTGTAAAGCTCAAGGTCTAGGTCACATTTGATTTAAAACTGGAAGCAAACGGTGCTTTTAGATTACACTTACTGTTACTACTAGCTGACTGCTGGAGTTGGACAGAATGTAAACAAATACATGTGCATGTATTTCTGCAAACTATGCATGTATAGTTTGTAGAAGAATTCATTTTTAGCTTCTTTCATTATTCAGGAAATAGTTTTTGTTGTATGATGCATCATTCAAATGAAAAATTAGTGATTTCTGGAATTTGTGCGCTTAAAAATGTCATTGAACCATTAAGTATTAGCAGAACATTAGTGCTGCGCTGTTTTTTGTTATTTTTATGCTCTGGATTTGTGAAACAAAAGATATACATCCTCATATTAATCAATTAAATGCACTTGTTATGAAACACCTTATTATAAGTCTCCTCGCCTTCTTATCCTCTGCATGTCATAGTGGGACATAAGACCACATCCAGTTCCCTCCACGCTGAGCTTCCCTCCAGGTGTAGCCCATCTCCTGTAACTCTGCCGCAACATTTCTCCTCCAGGTGCTATGGAGTCTGCCCGGCTGTAATAAGTGTCTCGGATATGTAATTTACATATAAAATCAGTGTAACATCCACGAGTGCCTGACTAATCTTCAGCTTTTCTCTGTTCTGTCTCTAAAACAAAAGCTGTACACGGATTTTTAACAAAACATCATTTTATTTGAACATAAACAGCAAATACAAAAAATCAATTATACACAAACAGGTTTGCCGTTAGTATCTGCAGAGCAGCACATGTAGAAATGCCCTGAGAGTTGCCTGTTTCAATACAGGAAAAAAACCCGAAAAAACTCGAAAAACATTACTCACCTCAAAGAATTTCCAGTCTAAACTCCAAAGAACCGAATCGTGACTTTAGACTAAACAGACTCACACTTACACACACACCTACACAAACAGACACTAACAGCAGCTCAGCTTGGATGAACATGCAGTGACTTTTCCTTGAAATATGTTTTGTTTTGTTTTTTACATAATTACATTATTTCTTTTCTATTTTCTCTTTCCACACCAACAATACAACATCTCATAATGAACAGATTGTATAGTTATGGGTTACAATTCACTTTTCAATTCACTTTTTTTCCTACATTTAAATAGAAGAATGAAATTGGATTAACTGACTGGTGGGAAATCAGCAAACAGTCAAAAATTGAGCCAAATTTGACGGATGAGGTTAAACGTTGTCCGTACAAATATTTTGTGTGTAACTGAGTCATCTAAAGCTGTTAATCAATTTATTCATTAACCAAATATATTAAAATGTGCAGAACTTTCCATTTTACTGGTTAACAATTTCCAGTCACTGGCATTGTACATTAACCCTCTGAGATCCAAGTTGCAATTAGTTCTAAAAAGCACGCCACTTCCAAAGATGCATAAATGCATTGAGTTGCTGTCATATGATTGGCTGATCAGAAATCTGCTTTTAGAAGCAGTTGAATGGGTGATCCTAACAAAGTGGCTGTCTTGGCAATCATGGAATAAAGACAATAGAGACTCTATACAGACCCATCACACATTATGTCTTATTTTACACAAATATGTTTCTTTTTTCATATGAGGGGATCGGGATTAACACCTTTGATGACTCAGTCCTTAGAGGGTTAATAAAATATGAATAATTACTTCAGCTGACCAGCAAGTATACCAGCATTCAAGCCTCCGGCTGACTAATTGTGCACATATCTAGCACATACCAGCTATTTCTTAGACTTGAATGAACAGAACTGCTGTGCTCCAAACTTTGCCAGTTGGCCTTAGTTGCAGAGCATGAATACAACCCTCTGGTTTTCACACTGCTGAGCTATTCTGCAGCATCCAGGCAAACGAGCAGGTGAGTGCTGGACTCTCGTGCGGCTGCTGTGCCAAACTCCTGTCCCTCCTGTCTGTAGTCAGCAACCTGGAAGAAAATGAAGAATATGTTCACACAGGAGCCTTACAGAACATTTGGTAGATGCTTACAATGCTCTAACGGGTTATCTATGTGGTGTGAAGACAAACACACAATGCAGGTTTTAGTCTAGTCTAAGGAATCCAACGCAGGTGTCATTGGCTAAGATGCAGGACATACAAGTAGAAAATATTTCGAATTAAATAAAACACATTTTTATATCCTAAAAAGACATTTTTCCGTTTGCTCTCAATGTCACCAAGTTCAAAATCCAAAATATTCAACAAAAACAACGACAACAGTACATTTAAAGTGTTAACCAATATCTTTCTGCAGCCAGGTTTACCAAGAAGTCCCAGGCCTATCACACAGATGGGTTTTTTTAAAAATACATTTGCTCCCAAATATGTCTTCACCTGTTAATAAAACGATGTAGAGTATTCTCTTAAAAAAATACAGTGCATTTAATCTGACTCCAGCGCCCCTGCTGTGTGGAAGCTGCCGTCCCGCCATGGATCGATCGTATTTCTAAACCCCCAAAACTGTTCCATAACTCATATCTTTCATGTGACGTCCGTTTGGTTCTGCTCTGGTGGTGAGTGGACTGGATTCCTGTTCCTGCTGAACTGAGCCAGTGATTCTGTAGGACTGATTATCAGCTCAGTAGGCACAGAAATCCAAGCCCAGATCTCTCGTTCTCACTCCATCTCTCATCAAGTGCTGGCTATGAGCATTGTTTTTTCCCTTTGTAATGAGGCGAAAAGCAATTCCAACTCAGGTAGCATGTCGAGCAGCGTTCCACCCACTTTGCTAAACCCACGAGAAAAACCGTACAGCTGACACTGTTGGATTTCCCCAGCTGTTGAACGTTGCGGCTCGCATGGTTGAAACTTAACAAGTGTCAGCGAGGCCACCGATAGATGGTGGGAGCTGGCACAAATTAAGTGTACATTTTTGACATTCAAAGAAAAAAAACTACAAGGGTACTTCGAGAGTCTGGTCATAAAAATAGAAATTTTAAACCCATCAAATCCACATTCCACTCCCTGCTTGCGATGAGCATCTGTACTTGGTTCAAACTGCTTATCCTTTGAAATGGAATTCAATGCTTCAACTCCCTGAAATACACTCGATGTTCAACAGCCAATCAGTCGAGTTTCACATGCATGAGGAGAAGAAAATGTGGGCGTTGTGGGGCGAATAAGTTTATTTTCGGTCTCTTTATACAATGTTGCTTTGTCCTTTGATGTGCAGAGGACCATTTCCTTCCCATTAGAGTGTAATAAATCACCTTTTGGATACGGGCTCTGATGGCAATTCCTCTCTTTTACAGGCCTTTGATGGTCATTATTCTTTTAACAGGCCCTAAATATAGGTCTAAAAATGGCAGGCTCCACATGGCCCTCATTTCTAATTCACACATCTATCCTCGTTTAGCCGCCATTTTCTCGTTGTTAATATAGAGCGCTGTAATGCCTCCTCACGGCTTCTATTCCAAAAAGACTGACCGGTTTTAAAATACATTTTCAACCATCTGTCACTGTTTTGATCAGGGAGCCGTTGGTCCAGAATAGTATAGATTTGCATTACAATTAGCTGGATAAAAAGTGGACTCTGGCACACACTACACCCACATCTGATCAGAGGTTATACTGCAAGTTAAACTATAAAGTCAGATTCACTCTCTGCACATAGCCCAGCTGCACAGCTGATGGGCGCACTTCATTTTGTGGAATTCATTTTTCTGAGATGCGTTTTGTTCACATATTGTTGTATAACCCGTTCAAAATAACTATTTTTTGTGTTATGTGAAGTAGGACTGAGTTTTACTGATCATTCCGTTGGAAGAAGTTGCAAAGGAAAATACAGTCGTCCATGATAAGCTTCATACCGTGCGTGCATTGTTTTTGTATAGCTTATCTTGACTAATTCAGGAACCTTCTCTCAGTCTAAGGAACTTGGAAAGAAAACCTTCTCTCAGCACTCCCCATGATGCTTGAAACAAAGCGTGTGTAACCCAGCTAAGAATTCCTGTTTTTCATGTTATCAGTGGGGGTTTCGCAGGATCACAGCTTTTTTGTTTCTCCCATCTCAGACAAAACAATAAGACGTGTATATCGCCACATTAAATCTACTGGAGGAACTCAATACAGAGAAGGGGAGACCTAAAATATTGGAAAGACCTTGAAATCACTATCAGCGTTTCCATCTTTGAGGCCTCGGTCTTGTTTTCTCTCCACAGCGTGGAAATGTGTGAGAATCGGTCTGCTTTATGGGGCTCTGTATCTCTGCTTCCTCGGGCTGACATTAGATCAAAAATCAATACATATCAGCCTGGGATGCCTAGACAGCACTTTTGGCTGCCAACGTGATTTTAGGTTTTAAACCTGAGGCACTTAAACTTCTTAAAGGATCATTTTTGAAAAAGGGATTTTATGATGGCCCTGTCAACCTTTTTAAAAGAAGTTACCCAGCTTTACCCCAACATGACTGATAAGTTAAATGAACAGTTATTTGACTTCACACTGATGCCACTCGATATGAAGCCACAGCCAGCAGCATGGTTAACTTATGCCTAATATAAAGAATGAGAACGACGCCGGCGGCATATCAGCAGGGTGTCACTGCGGGTGCTCAGCGGCCGACAGAGACTCCAGGAAGCAACTGCACCTAGCCAAGAAACCGTCTCTCTCATATAATCCCCTGTAAAACCGAAAAGTCAGTTTATAGCAGAGTAAATAAACAAAATGAATGACTCAGCTTTAGAGGATTTCGCAGCCTATCCTCACGCTCCCTTTTCAGGCCTGTGCTGAGTTCAGCTTTGGCTGCTGGCTTCCTATCAAGCAGGCAGTTATGAGGGCGGTATCAAGCCCCGCTTTTGAGTTTGGGCAACGCAATTCACGGAATGTTTACAAAAAAATGTTTACAAAGCAAGACGCCAAATCTAAAACCCATGTTACACGCTAATTCCAAACAGGTTTCTATGCAGTATGTTCACACGGGAAAACTTGAAACATGAAACCGTGCTTCAGGTGAAAGCAAGTCTTCAAATGTATCAAATGTCTAAAGTTTTATGGTCACCTGATCGTCACACCTTGAGTGGAGACTTTTAAAAAAGGCTCTGAGGGTTATTAGAAAGGCTTAAATTCATTTTTTTCACCTATAGCCTGCAGGAAGTATTAAGTCAGTGTCTCACAATGGCCTATTAATAGTTTATTTTACATCTGTTCATTTCATCCATCAATTCTGTGCCACTTTTTTGAGTCCAAAGTCTTGATTTCAATCATATCATTACCTTGTATTATATAGTACTCGAATATGCTGAGGGTGTAGTTAACGCTGCATCGATGGTGATGAGCCTGATGATGGTAGCCGTTGCTTAAGGACTGATGAAATATCTGTCGGCACCATTAAGCAGAGTTTGGGTCTCCCCAGACCTCATTAGTACCTCAAGTACACTTTCTCTCCTGAGATACTCTCACCTTCTCTAGAACTATAAAGCGTGCAACTGGCATCATCTGCAGGATTATCTCTTCTACTACGCAACTAAAAGGAGATAGAAGCAGAGGGGTGGAAGTACGGAGCAGGGAGGGAAAGATGAAAGGAGGAGAAAGAACAACAGGCAAAGCAGGAGAGCGAAACGTGGCGCTCATTAGTAATCCTGCGCAGTGTTTTGAATTTGCGAAGGGGGTGCTTGCGTGTTTAATTCTTCTGAGCGAGGTCGTCTCAGTGGAAAGTTTTTCCAGACATGCAAGAGGAGAGCTATTGAGAGCAAAAGCAGTGAGATAAGGGGAAAAAGAAAAGTGAAATGAGATTTTAAACAAATTAAAATAATTTTAAAAAGGTGCAAAAAGATGCAGAACAATCAAGCAATGAGCGGGAAAACGGCTTAAAACAGAGAAGGGGAAGGGAGTGTTGTATAAACACACATTGGATAATTGAAGTAGGAAAATTAGGCCCAACTGTCCACACACGCACGTAACCGCCACTGTAAAAACTTTGTGGCACATTTTTCTTCTCTCTTCCTCCCACACCCATTTGTCGTCTCCTCTTTGTCTCCCTGTCTGGGTCATGCTCTCCTCAGGTGCAGAACTTAGCCACTGTGAACAAAGAGGGAATCAATCACTGTTCACCAATCAGCTAAGCTCTGTGTCTGGCTGGAGAGAGGATACAAAAACCTGTCCGACGTGTACGCGCTCTTACAAAACAGCTGCAGTGATGAGCTCCTTCATCACACTTTCCCCCTTTTTTTCCCCTTCTTCTCCTCCAAATCACCAGCTCCTCAAACACAATCACACACTCAGATAATCAAGTCTTCTTTTGTTTGTTTTTTTGTTTCCCCCCCCCACAAGTTTCTGGAGGACGAGTGTGTTTATGTATGTGTATAGGAGGGGCTGTGGTTGCCATAGCAGCCGACTGGGTCAAGGCTGTGTGGTAATCCCTGGCAATGTGATTTTATCATAAGTCACAAATCAGCACGCCAGGAACCCTCACAGCCCAGACATGAAAGAACAAGAGCTCCACTCTTATTTTCTCTAGTTATATCCTCAAGTCCAGCTCCAGTCCAATGTGAACCTATAACTGCCTTATATATATATATATACACATATACATATATGATTTCAGCTTGTTTGTCTCTTTCAGACCTGTAGAACCTTGCTCTCTCTCTCTCGTACTATTTCCTTGGTCACCCCTCTCCTCGTCTCCCATTCGCCACGCTCGGCTAACCCGGCGATATGCCCCTCATTAAGCGGATCAAGAGGGATTCCAGAGGCATGTACCGGAGGGGGAAGAAAAGAATGAGGGAGTGAGCAGGGAGGGGGAAAAGAACTTGAAAAAAAGACAGGGAGAGACCACCCTTCTCTTTTTAAGGGTTGTGCTTTTTGGGTTTAGGAACACAGAGCAGGGAGTGAGCCTTGACAGACATGTTGTTTTCAGTTAAAACCCTCTCAGCCCGCCTCAGCCTAATCCCACTGTACTGTGGTCTGCGCGAGGGTGTAAAAGGGTACAGGGAGGAACTGTTCTACTTATAAAAGGACGACGCTGGAACACAAAGTGAGCAGTAAAACATAAATCCGTCTCCCTACAGTGCGATATGAAAAAGCAGCGGGGAGGTCTGTTCATCCATCATTTTAATTGGTTAGAGATCTGGACCTTAGCTCAGTTGACCGGCGTGATCCGCTGATGTTTATGGAGGCTTGTTTGGGTCAGTCCAATGGGAAGGAACAATAAAAGTTAGAAAATTTGTCTCTAACTGCTTGTTTTCTTCTTCTATTGTTTCTTTTCTTCCTCATTTGTAGTAATAACCCACACAGTGTCGTGAGGGATTGAATGATGACGAAACAGATCGGTGGGTACAGACAGATAGGCGCTGGACGTGTGCGTGTTGTACGTGTGTGTTAGACAGATTTATCAGGACTGAGCCAGATGCCAAGCACTTGTCGAGAAAGCCTTTCACATCCGGTGCAAATGCATATAGCTTTCTCGGAGTATGTGCGTGTGTGAAGATAAAAGCCCGTCTCGGTCATGGCTTAAAATAGGATGTAGTGCTGTAAGTCACTCAGGATGATGTGGACAACTGTTTAGCAGCACCTCGTGACGCATCCTGTGTTGACCGAGGTTGCTGACGCTTCCCCTGACCTTACACTTAGTGTAGCAACAAAACTACCTGATGTGTGTGAATGAAAGGGTGGGGCATAAAGAAATGTGACTGGGTTTAGCAGTGTTTGTATTTTGCCTTAAAAGTAAATGTCAAATCTGAACAAATAAAAAGCCACCAAAAATCAGCAGCTTCATACTTGAACACTCGAGTTTCGGGTTTTTATTTTGAAACACATGGATTAGAAATCTCAATAAAATAAAATAAATACATAAATAAAAAACATAACTGGAAGATTTTATTTTAACCCTGAATTTGATAAGTGGATGGATGGACTTGCTACTGCTAATTGAAGGCTTTTATTTTGAAAATCCCACACATTTTAGAGCATATCTGTTTTCTTACTGCTTCCTGTCAGTCAGTGTAAGGTCTTTGTGGATGAAACTATTTAAATATGGTGAAAATGTGTGCAATCCCAAGCGGGGCTCTATAATCACGTTGGCTCTATAATCAGATTCAGTCGCTTGGCTGAGACACAGACTGAGAAGTTTTTGCAAAGAAAAACTATCAGAAGTGTCCTCCAATCAGAATGAGAGCAAGAGGAGATTCAAATCTTCCAATCAGATGATGAAATCCAAATAGATCCTAGCTCGTCAGCTATCAGCACCTGTTGACACCTGTGTCAGTTAAGCAGCAGTTGTGCAAAACTTCCCTCAGGGCCACTTCCAGAGAAACAGCTTATGAAGTCAAAACCATAACTCATCAACTTGGTGTAAAAACTGTGAGTGGCCCTCGAGGTGTGTGTGTGTGTGTGTGTGTGTGTGTGTGTGGGGGGGGGGGGGGGTATTGTTTCTGTATTAAAATGAGTCACTTAGTTTATACTTTTCTCCAAAATTATAATGGATCTCTCTCAATCCATTGGATTGCAATCCCACTAATTAGAAGATTGTTGAGATTTTTAAGCTTTTAACAAACTATTTAATTTATATTTAATATTTTTTGTTTTAATTTGCTTATTGCTTCCCTCCACTTTCTGCTGCTGATCTGGGGTCGGTCCTAGGGGAACACCGAGGCATTCCCAAGCTAGGCAGGAGATATACTCTCTTCAGCATGTCCTGGGTCTACCCTGGGGTTCTTTCCAGGTAGGACAGAGCACCTCACCCAAGATGCAACCTAATTAGATGCTCCTTCAATTTGGAGTCCCTCCCCAAGGACTGAGCTCCTCACCTTATTTCCTAGGGAGGACACAGGCACCCTTCTGAGAAAGCTTACTTCCACCGCTTGTATCCACAATCTCATTCTTGCAGTCACTACCCACACAGTTCGTGACCAAGTGAAGCTAAGGGCGTAGATCGACCAGTAAATCGACTGTTTTCTGACTGGCTTCTGATGTCTTTGCTGGAGAGGAAATGCCATGGAGAAAAAGGATCGCTAGTCTAGACTCGAGGAGTAAAGACTTGGCTTCAACACACGGGTCTCGTTCTTTGCCAACCGAGCTATGGGAGCAACCACAGACCATACGATTTTTAAGAAAACATCTAGTATTAGTTGTAGCCTGACAACACTGACAAGTTCGCTAAAACAGATAAGCTGCTATTTTGAGTAAAAATTGAACAAATTTTCACAAAGAATTACTTTTTCACGATCCAGCTTTTCATGCTTTTTAAAAACAGTAGCAAAATAATATCTTGTGTCCTTGTGGCCATAACTTCAATTCAGTTCAGTTATTTGCACTTTTAAAAGTAAAGCTATAATCTCAGGGTATTTCGCTTGAAAGTTAATAAGATTTTATAACACTATTCATAACATACTACAGCACTCTAATAATATTTTGAAGAATAGTTGGGTTGCTTTACTTCAACTGTCAACCCTAGATCCACTTAATTGCCTCGTCTCATTATTCATTATTAATGTCAGTAATAACAGGACTGTTATGAAAAGATCAGCAGCTTCCAAGAGCCCTGTCCTCTCTTCTGCTCCTTCTCTTCCTTCTTTCTCTCACTAAACCATTTTTTCCTCTCTCCTTCATTTAGAGTCAGACCAATGCACCCCTCACTGTACGGAGTCATCCAAAAGCCCAGTGGTTGACAGTTGTGGTTCTGCATACACACACACACGTACACGCAGGAGGAATTTCAGGGTCAACAGTATGAAAATGCCTCCACATCGAGTAGAGACCATCCAGAGCCCATCAGAAAATGCTCACTGACCCGTTCCCCCTCTCTCTCTTTTTTTCTGTCTTCCCTCTCATTTGTTTGAGGAACACATTCCCAAATTCCTTCTCTGACAAACACATCCTGACGGCGCTGCTGTGAAACCACGGAAAAGGCCCCATTCTAAGTGTACAAACACACATGTGCATACACACTCAATAAGCTCAGGAAGGAATGTGCAGTAAAAGTAGCCAAGTGACTCAAGTGCGGACTGTCCGCTGGGGTAGATGGAATCAGGATCAATTCAATACAAAGCTTTCTTTTACAGACTCCATTTCAGGCTAGAAGGTCAACTATGAGATAAAGATAGTGGCTTTGTAGCCGAGAAATATTTTAAAACTTCAAAAGATAACAAAGTATTGATTACTGGTTCTTTTTCCCGTGTATGGTTCAAGCAACTCACCAAGCTATTAAAGCATCCTGTTGCAGTCTGAGCTCCAAATAAAAAGCCACCAAATCCCTGAGCGGGTAACTTGTAATCTTATTTTATAAACCTAAGCAAATATAGTTTATATTTCTTATTTGGCTTGTTTGGAGAATTCCCACCGTTCTGTGCCAGTGAAAGCCACTAAAATTACGATTAAACCAGAATTCCTCTGAGTTAAGGAGAAACCAATTATGCTTAACGAGAGCAAAAAAAGAAGATGAAAAAGGAAAACTAATTATGCTGTCGGAAAGTTTTCAGTCAGGTTAAATTTATTACATACTTTATCTCAGAACAACAGCATTCATAAAAATAAAGGCCAATATGTTTGACAGCATTTGGAATGAAGAACTGAAAATAAGACATCACCTCTGCTGTTATAGGACCATCTCCTCCACCACTCTGCGTGCCGATTGGTCCATCTCTCCCTGGACTAGTGAGAGGCAGTGACGCGCCAGAGCCTGCTGCTCAGGGTCCTCCTGAACCATCAGCTCCCCGTACAGATACACACCCATGGCCTGGAGCACACATACACAAAAAACTGTTTATTTAGTTTAATTTTTCTCAGGTTGAATCAGATAAAGGCTTCACAGCTGTGCGTATTTACTTGGTCATGAATCAGAAAGTGCTCCACATCTCCGTAAGCCTGAGCGTACGCGTGTTTGACCACAAGTTCACACCAGCGATGTCGGACCTGCAAACCAAGACAGAAGATTGTACACAGTAATGATTTTGAAGAACAACTGACTCCTAAACACATCTTATTGTAGTTTGGTTTTTTTTGCATTCACCACTTTGACAGATATATTTTCCTGCTTGTAGCCAGTGAATTCAAACATGCGATTAACCAAAACAGCTCAAGCTGGGAGCCTGTGGACTGAGTCATCCACAATCGGAGGTTTAATATATTTAATATTTAAGAAGACTGAGATGATTTTCTTTCCGAAACAGTCTAAAGTTTGATTTAATTCCACATGTGCGTGTGTGTCGAGGTGTAATTCTACTGAACGCGTGCATGTGTGCACTTGTGTGCGCATGGAAGCTAACGCTTGGCCTTTCTTCCAGAGGATCAATAGGAGCTCTGTTGCCGCGGTTACAGGAGAGATCAGAGACTGGCTCTGTCCCTGCCTCAGCCATCATCCTTCATCATCTGCTCCGAGCGTGCACGTGAACATGTGCGACCGTGCATGGATCTGCAGCAAGTGCGTGTATGGATATACAGGCAGACACAGATGATAAAAGAGACAGAAGAGCGATTTGAAAAAGGAAATGTGGATGAAAAATGTTTTAAAGAACTGTCGCTACTTTAAAGCCTGACAGTTTCCCCTGGCTGATTTTTTTGTGGGTGTTTCAGTCTTCTCCATAACTATCTCAGCACACTCAGGATGATAAACTGGTCCTTTGGGCAGTACAGTGACCAAGCGTGGGATTTCTGGAGATTGATTCTATTTCAACACCTCAGGCTTTGGGCATTTCTAAAGGAGCAGTACAGATATTCATTTTGAGATAGTGTATTCTAGAAAAGAACCAATAGACTCTACCTTTTTTTTAAGCAGTCACACTCTTAATAGGAGTTTTTGGTTTGCTTGTGCAAATGTGGCCCTGGCCTCCACCTACTTGTGCAGCTTAAGAATGGAGTCGGAGCAATGCTCAATTTACAACCACATTCAAATCCTCACATTACCTCTGCAACAGACTAAATAAACATGAGTTAAACAGGTCTCAGATGGGGCTTTGAAGTTGCTCTTTCATCCAGATTTTTAAAATCCCTTTCCATTTATTTTCAGCTTTATTCTGGAAGGCAGTGAGAATCCCAGAGCAGAAAGCAAATTAAGAGTAATGCTCTTCTACCCCGCACTGGAACGTCCGCGTGCGTCTGCATTGGTGGGTGTGCGTGCATGAGCGTGTACAGCATGCGTAGCCTCTGGTGCCAGCCCTGCCCTTCTGGCCTGCGTGGCCCCGGCAGCTGTTCCCCGTGCTGGGTTACATTCCTGGGGAGAGCCCGGGGGCAGAGCAGCTGCCTGGTGCACCTCTCCTTACCCTCCTTTTTTTTTCTTCCCCTCCCGTTTCCTCTCGCTGGGCCCCTCTCTCTGACAGCACATGCAATTACACAGTGACATTCCTTCATTTATTACTGCAAACCTCCCCTCTCCCCCCCAAATCCTCCTCACAACCGAGGAACAGCGTCTGTGTGTGCGCTCTTATCACAATGAACAAACTTTCACGTCTCACACAAAAACACGCATGGATCAAAGATGCGAATGCTCATACTGCATACCAGCATTTTGGGAAATATTCTCTTTCTTCACGAAGGATTTTCCCAAATTTTATACCAGTTCCATAAAAATGAAGCAAGGGGATGAGACAAATGTATACAAGAGAGCCTTAGAGCTGCTATTAGGAGACCTTTTGGTAAAGCTAGTGTAACTGTGTATGTGAGGGGGTCTGGTTTTCTAACGACAAAATAAAAACTTAATGAACTATCCATTTATCTCTTTTCTTTGTAAATTTTTGCCTTTTTATCATTTTCTTTATACTACTTTAACCATTACGCTTTATTTATGTTGTTTGCCCAGTGGCATCTATTAAGTCTACAAGGAATTTCCCTCCCCTAGGTTTTTATTTTTGAAACTGGGGTGGGGTTTTTTTTTGCCCATTTGAGGAGCTGTTTTTTGTTTCAAGTCTAATATGAGCCAGTGAAGTCCTTTGAAGTCCTTTGGATTAAAGCGCACAAATAAACTTGAGATTTACTTCTTTTTAGATGACCCTTGGTAATAACTCTTTTGCCTTGTTCTGTTGTCTCCTCTACTCAGCTCCGCATGTTCCCAGTTCTTGATGTGGTTCGGTGAAGTCTCCAGTGACTGCAGTAAACCTAATCCTAGCATCACGCTTGCACAATAAGGCCAGTTATAGTCTCAGATAATGCTCCATATGTGCATGTGCACTGTGGCGCAATTGAATTGCATGTTCATGTGCTCATGTAGCATCACACAGGTAAGGATCGATCTCATTAAGACTGATACCATTCTTCATCAGAGCACTTGAACCATTCCTTATCAATTTCCTGTGTGGGAACACAGTAAGCTTGTGCAGATTTTCAGCCTCACTGTTGTATTATCTCCTGTCTGTACGGAGTGTAGAAACTGTGTTTTTTAAGGTTTGCATGTGACTCAGGTGTGCAAAAGCTCTGCACCAATAAGTCTAACAATACACAACAAGGGAATTTATAAGCTTAGCGGCAACTGTCAAATGGTTTGGACAATCTGAGACCGGTTCTCAATTCCCATCACTGCACACAGCATCTCACATCACATGAGGCTCATATGAAAGGAAGAGGGCCAAAGTCACGCACTTGGTCTCATACATGCAAACACATGCCCCAGCTCACAGACACACTCGCACACATATTCATGGTCACTGACGCCATAGACAAAGCATTCCGACAGCACGCACACCAGTGGTCAGCCACGTATTTCCTTTCACTATTGTGTACATGCTTACGCAAATCACACACACACGGAAACTCAAGTTTGCATGCCAGTCTTGAAAGCACCTTTAGTCCAGACCTTTTAGTCTTCTGTTGCTTTGTGCAGCATCTCATGTAAACTTCACTCCACTTTGACTGTGTGAAACTTTGTTCGACCGCCCTCTGTGTTACATATATAACATGTAGTGTCATGCTGCTATATAAGAGGAACAGCTGGGGGTTTACTATAGGCTGCTAAGGGCTGATAATACACGTCTATCTTCAAGTGATCAATCAGTTGTTTCACAATGCATTCAGAGCCGCGGCATTACTAACGGCCTTTTTAGAAGTCATAACAGCTATTCATATCACCCAATATTCATTCACTCTGAAAAGCTCTTTCTACATCAGGTAAACACTGAAGAGCTGCAGAGGGCTCGACTGCACTCAGTCCTGTATTTATTTTAAACAGATCAATCATCAATCCTCTGCGATGAAAGTGGCAGCAGACAATGCAAAGCTGCGTGAGAAGAGGACAGAAAAAGTAAGGGGGGGAAAAAAGACCTCTGGACAGAGAGAATAAATGGGCACGTTTATATGGAGAGACGTAGGTGATTAACCTCTTCTGAATGAGATTACTGACATTAGGACTGGCCCATTGCCTTCAGACAGGTGTGTGCAGGTATGCTTGTGTGAGTGAGTGTGTGTGTGTGTGTGTATGTAGGTGAGTGTTTTTCCATGCATGACTATGTGCGTAATGGCCCTGCGTATTTTTAGCAAACACTTAAAGTTTTTTTTTCCTGGAAATTGCAGATGGGAATCTACTTTCATCTGCCAGGAAGTCTGACTAAAGAGGTGTACGTGTAAAAAGCTGGACTCAAGGCCAAACACACAGTGACCTCAGACTGAGACCACGAGGTGGATTACTAGAAGTGAAAATAAGACAATGAACTACAGACGAGTTACTGAAATACACCCACTTTTACTGCGTTCCATTTGCCTCGGAAATCGGATGTCGGAGCTGGAAGTGACATCACTCCCGATTTGAATGTGTTCCAAAGGAACATCAGAAAACTAATGAAAAACAGGATTTGTTTGGTAGCAAGATACAGCTACTTATCACTAGCAACACAGCACAATCGAGCCTAGCCCTGCATATGGCTTAGTCAGCTTTGCCAGTCACAAATATATATCAGTAGAAGTCTAGAGTTTTTACAGTTTTACTAATGTTTACATGTACTGCCATCATCTTGGATGAATAAGTGAGGGTGGCGGGGCTGCTCCGACTTTCCGAGTTGGAAGCCTGACTTGGGGGGTAGTGCCAGTTGAGAATTCTGATTGAATGCATCTAGGTACACCTATTCACATGTTCATCAATACAAATATCTAATTGCCTAATCACATGGCAGCAACTACAATGTATTTAGGCATGTAGGTTAAGATCACCTGCTAAAGTTTAAATTGAAAATCAGAAAGGTCAAGAAAGGAACCAAAGACTACCTTTCTTTTAAGCTTAACAGAAGTTTTTGACTTTTTTTTATTTGTGCAGCAGATGTTGCCGCGCCCTCCACCTACTTGCAGCTGAAGAATGTAGACTGAGCAATGCTCCATTTACAACCACATTCAAATCCTCACATTACCTCTGCAACCTACTAAATAAAGATGAGTTTAATGGGTCTCAGATGGAGCTTTTAAGTTTTCATCCAAATTTCACAAATCCTTTTCCATTTATTTCCAGCTTTATCTTGGAAATATTGGGGTGTAGGCCAACAGGTCATATTGACTGAGTAGACATGGTCAACATAAGCTGCTGAAAATCAAACCAAGCATTAGAATGGGGAAGAAAAGTGATTTAAGGGACTTTGAACACGGTATATTTCAGAAATGTTTGAGGCTGGCTAGATTAGTGAGTGAAATATATTCTACTGGGATTTTCCCACATAACCATCTCCAGGGTTGAAAAACTGAAAATATGGACAATAATGCCTTGTTGATGCCAAAGGTCCGAGGAGAATGCCCAGGAAGACAACAGTAACTCAAATAAACACTCGTTACAATCAAGGTATGCAAAAGAGCATGCCACAACACATCAAACCTTGAAGCAGATGTGCTACAGCAGCAGAAGACTACAACTGGTGCCACTCATGTCTGGACAACAGAAGCTTAAAAAATAAAACACTCAAATTCTTCTGCAACATTTGGAAAGTAAGGCCAGAATTTGGTATAAACAACATGAAAGTATGATTCCATCCTGCCTTGTATCAATAATTCAGGCTGATGCTGGTGGTGTAATGTTGTGGGTGATTTTCTTGGCACCCTTCAGTCCCCTTAGTACCAGCTCAGCATTGCTTAAATTCCTCATTCTACCTGAGTACTGTTGCTGATCATGTCCATTCTTTCGTGAAGACAGTGTATCCAGCAGGATAATGCACCATTTCACAAACTTCAGCTCATCTCAAACTGATTTCTTGAACAAGATAATCAGTTCACTGCACTCAAATGACCAACACAGTCACCAGATCTCAATCCTATAGAGCACCTTTGGGATGTGGTTTCACATCATGGATTTGCAGCCAACAAATCTGCAGCAACTGTGTGATGCTATCATGTCAATATGGACCAAAATCCATAAGGAATGTTTCCAGCTTCCAACACACTGCTTGCTACGTGGACCTGCTAGGGAAAATCACGCCTTTATGATTTCAGATTCCAGCAAGTAAATGAGCGGAAACGCACCACAATTGAGCAGCCTCTATATAACAGAACATCTGAGCTCCATTATATACATTACCGCCCCAACAAAACAGCTCATATAACTAATAATAACTCGTAAAAAAAACCTAAATATGTATCAAATTTTTCTTTTCAAGAGAGGCCATGTGTTAATGATGGAAGTCAGCGTGGACAGTTTACAGGCTCGGGCACAGCTGTGTTTTCACAGCGCTCCTGTACTGAGAGGAAGCACTTGATCATGCGCACACACATACATACACACATAGCCAGAGAGTACAAACAGTGAAAAGTATGCACACACACACACACACACACACACACACACACACACACACACACA